GGGAACACCTTGGGATTCCACCAGAGGAGCTGGTCCAAGTGGCTGGGGAGAGGGAAGTCTGGGAGATTGTTTATTTTTTATATTTATATATTTTTTCTATTTGTTTATAGACTGTCCTGCGACGTTCAGACACTGTTTAGAAAGTTCACTTAACATGTTTTACATCATGTTGCATGAAACAAGAAAAATTAGAAATGGTAAAAAGGTAAAGCTACAGATATGCTTGCTTTATTGTAACCTGCGCTTTAAATAAAACTTACTTTGTTTATTATAAAACAGATGGATTTTTTGCTTCTGTTTGTTGAAAAATACTTAAGACATTAAAGAATTAATTGCATATTAAATCGCAATCGCAATTTATAGATAAAAAAATCGCAATTACATTATTTTCTAAAATCGTTCAGCCCTATAATCAGGCTGCTGCCCCTGASACCCGACCCCGGATAAGCGGCAGAAAACGGACGGAATTAATAGAAAAATACTGAAACTTTTATCATTTTTTTCCATGTGAATTTGCTTCTTTGATTAAATTAGATTCTAAATTAGATATATACATATATAAGAAAACACAGCATATGTTCACTCCCAGCATTGAGAGGTTTTATTGTGAAGACAGCAGAAGTGACTAAAAGATGGGTGGATACACTTTATTGATCCTTCGCAGGAAATAACAGATTTCTAATTTTGCAAACGTACCCCATCCCAGGATGTAGTACCAGAAGAGTTGCTGTTCCTCCACAAACACAGCCACAATAATGAGCGTGTGGAGGTAGATGCCCTCACACAGCATCCAGAAGTAGTTGGAAGTAGACGTGTACTGAGTCAGGACAGCCAGAACCTTGCAGCTTACCTTGTGGTAAAAATCAGACACTGAATTAAAGTTAAAATGAGCAGAACACAAGCTAAAATGAGCAGAACACAAGCTAAAATGAGCAGAACACAAGCTAAAATGAGCCGAACACAAGCTAAAATGAACAGAACACAAGCTAAAATGAACAAGCTAAAATGAACAGAACACAAGCTAAAATGAGCCGAACACAAGCTAAAATGAACAGAACACAAGCTAAAATGAACAGAACACAAGCTAAAATGAACAGAACACAAGCTAAAATGAACAAGCTAAAATGAACAGAACACAAGCTAAAAGAACAGAACACAAGCTAAAATGAACAAGCTAAAATGAACAGAACACAAGCTAAAATGAACAAGCTAAAATGAACAGAACACAAGCTAAAATGAACAAGCTAAAATGAACAGAACACAAGCTAAAATG